CGCACAGGAATGTGAACTTGACGTGTCGCGTTTAACCATTCAGCGTGTGTTTAAACGCAAACCTAATATTATTAGACAAAAACTAATTTCTGCACCTATACTTTCTAAACGCCACAAAATAGCGAGAATGAAATACGCCTGCGAAAACATGAGTAAAATGGGGATCGTGTAAGTTAATATTAAAAATTAATAAATTGAAAGATGACTTATATTATTGTTTCCCACTTAACGTCCTTTATTAGTCAATATTTTCCAAAGAGAACAAATTCAACCTCGAGGGTTTAATTTTTACTGGAGGGAGCTGTGAAAGGAATCAAAATGCTTTTCCAAACGAAATTTCGATGGAGAAACACTAATGGTATGTACTTCATCCGGAATAACTTAAAATACATCAAAATACTAGAAAACAATTTGTTGCTCTTTATTCGTTCGAAGAATCACGTTTCTTGGATGTATCGACAAGAAGAACAATGAAGTGATGTGAAACATTTAACATGAAATTAGCGAAGTGGATAGCATTTCAAGCATTTCGACGAAGAAATTTTAGGAAAACTAATCATGAGTCATAGTTAATAGAAAAGAAACAAGGTCCTACTCGTTATTAAAATTTTCCATTCTATTCATTTAAATTATAACTTAATCATTCCATTGCAATTTAAGATTATTATTACGTTATAATTGCATTGGTGCTATAATTGTGCACCTGTAAAATACTTATGCTATTGTCATATTTTGTCTTAAATGTTATGTTCGCTCTTTTTTCATTACTATAATTTCACTTTAGCCTGATCTGCGTAATACTATTAATATTTAGAAATCATTAATTAATACTCTGAAACTCTCGAAAATTGTAGTGATGCTATAGTTATGCTTGGCAGTGTACTTTTTATGCTCTTAAAATTTTAAGGGGAAAACTGGACGATATTTGGAAATTTTGTTTTAGAAAAGTTCGTGACATATTAAACTGAAACTTGCTGTAGTAATTAATGTACTAATATATTTCTTGAATTTTGCCATGCAATTTACTCGAAAAATAAACAAGTTATTAATAATACATTATGTGTCATAAATTTGTAGTTATTTTTACTGATTGTAGTTGGTAGCATTGGAACGGAGGTATGAGGGGGAATCCCATGATAGAGTGCCCGATAGGGTGCGTAATGGCGTTGTGAGAGAACACGTGTAGAAATACCTGTATATGTTCATTGTTAAAATAGAAATAAATGTGTTGAAATAACAATGAGTTGTTTAGAATTCTTTAGAATGAACCAAACACAATCCCAACAATAAACGGGTACGATTGCGCTCCAATAAATAACTGAAAATTAAAAATACAAAGACATTATTCTGCATGAGCTCTTTCCTGAACCACATGAAACGAAAAAAAATTATATCAAATTTGACATAATGCCGATGTCTTAAAGAAAAAAGCATTTACCTTAAAACGCTCTCATTTTAACAATTTTAAAATTTCTTTTAATTCGAGCAGTAATCATACTCACATAGTTTAAAAATTTCGTTTGTTTTTTAAATTCTGTTTCCGTTTCTCGATAATAGCTGCATAAACAGATTATGTCGTTGAAATTATTTTTACATAAAATTTTTCATATAACTAAATATGTGTTAGTGGTTATCAAAATACTATTTTAAACATAATATTTTGCTTGTTGCTTTTATAAAATTCTAAATATGTTCCCATTTTTCTACATTTAAACTAAAGTACCTTCTTAAGGAATAAGTATAAAATTAATAGAAATAGTTTACAAAAAGTGCAACCTGAAATAGAAAAGATCATAGTCGTATCATCAATAATTAATAATGCTTTTTATAAATCATTTCTCTTAATTTTTGGTCTATACTTTCCAAACTTTTCATTTAAAAAAATTGAAAATGGCGTCAATACGAAGCAATATAGTAGACAATGAACAAGTTTGCGAGAGCAGCGTTAATCAAAAAGCAACAGTAAGGAGTTATAAAAAGAGAACACAGTTTCGTAATAATATTGCCCTTGTTCTTTATAGTTGTTCTTTATTAGCAATATGCGTTCAATCACTAGCAACAATGGAGGCCAAACGGCTGTAAAAGGGGGGAAAGCATTTGTCTATAACGTTGATCGAATGATCGTTTTGAATCAGCGATTTGAAATGTTCGCGCGATTGGAACATAGAAAAATTAATTGACGAACGATAGTTTCGTTGATAGCTGAACATATCGCGATACAGAGATAGAAGGCCATTCAGTCTGTCTTGTTTCGAAGTATCCAAACGAACATGGGACTAATCCGTGCATGACGATCCTTGATATAATTAATTAATTATTAATTAAGCTGTCTATTTAACATAGGAATTTAGGTATATAGATCCTCCCACGTGTGAATGTACAGGACAAGCTGTTCATATAGGTTAGAAACGTCGAGGTCGTTGATTATGTAAAATAAACGATAAAAACGATCATTCAGCTTCAAGGTGCGAGTATTTAGACGTTGCGATTGCTGCGTGCCGACTCGTTACCAATGTTGCAATTAATAACGTTCGAGAATCGGTAATTTCGTAAACTCCATTTGCTCGTTAAAGATGGTCTCCGTTCGTTAAACCGTTCAAAACTTTTGTTCTTTACAAAGACCGTTGGCGACAGTAAAATTACTCTTCGCTTTGTTTCAAAGCGTATGGAATATCAATATGTTAATTTTAATGTTATTAGAGTGTTAAGAGAAAGCAGAACGTCCCAGGTGATCCATCACCTGCGTCGATGAATCATTAAACGAATCATTAAACGATCAGATTACGATACCCTGCGGTTTACAAATTACATGAAACAAAGCCGCCACAATTGCTCGAATCTTTAAATAATCGCTCGAAGCAGCCACGTTAATTAAAAAGAAAGAAAAGACAATGGAAAATATAATACTTTGCTACGATATTATCGTTGGAAAATTTATAATTGATTCTACGTTACGACGATCGCGTTCGCGATCGTTCTGTTACGATTATTTATTCGTGGCGATTTCATTAAGTGAAATAAAGACACAGAAGTCCAGAACGAGGTAGCTCGAGCGTCGAAAAGGGGGAAAAAAGAACAGAGCGACGATGAAAATTAATTATGCTAACTGCTAAAGTATTCACGTAACGTGCAAGAGCATGCATAGTTGTAGCGATTACGATCGTGTATCGCGGTTTATATCGTTCCTCACGTGATGTAAGGCACGCAATACTTTTCGTCGCGCACGATAAAGGAACTATGTAACTTGTTAGATCTTCCAGGTAATTATACGGTGTACGTGACAATCTTATTGGTGAACGTCGTTACAAACGAGCACGCAGACAGTGACGGGCGAATTTAAACGTTTTCACCTGCATTTTCCCCAAGTAAATGCTCGGAACTATAATTTAATCGAATGTTTTTTCACTGAAAAGTCTTCAGTTTTGTCACGGAAGATCTGCCCTTATCAAAAATTATTTTATATTATTACTTTGCCATTCAAGGTAGGAATCTTTTAATTCTTATCATTTTATTTTAGTTTTATTTAATATCTTTTAAAAAGCTATGGAATATCTGAATTTACAAACCTTTCGAAATTTATGCAATACGTCAGAAATTAATATAAGAAAAATGGTATTAAATCTAATTCAGTTATTATAATGCAACAATGGATATGTTTATGTAAATTTTTTCGTTTCAAATAATAATACCACACATTTCGAGAGAATCAGTACTTAAAAGTCTTTACGATATGCAAGACGATGAAAATTTACGATCGTGTACTAATTATAGTTTGTTAGTTTCACGCAGGCAGTAAGTTAATAACACATTATCTGATACGAATCGTAAAACTGGCCGAAGTGAAATTTGCCAGTATATTTTTAGAGAGAGAAACCTATTGCGTATTTAGTTGCAACCTCGACATCAAGTTCGACATAATAGCGACAACTATTTTCACCTGATTTTTCTATGAACGAGAAGGCAAACTGCCTACGTTTCCCTCGTTGTTCCGCATCTCCGACGAAGACTCAATGTTTTTTATACTACTCAAGGACAAGCGTAACTTTTTTACACAAGATTAGGCAACTTCATTAGTCCGTGCCAATATTATTTGAGATAATATGAATTCTCGTGTAACAGCGTCAAAAATTAAAATATCCTTTTTTATTTCCCCGTAAAAAGTTCTATTGCACTAGACATTTAGGAACACGAAGAGAGACCCTTAAATTATATCAAAATATTCTTTTAGTCCATTTTTTGTTATATTTTATTAATTATTCTAAACGAAAATTTCTTCTTCAAAATGCTATAGTTTTTTAAATTTTCCATATCTTTTGTTTAAAATAGGTTCAGTATCGATGGAAACCAACCAGCTTTAAGAAAATTTTTCGTTTGTTGCGTTCTGATCTCTATGATGACTGTACATCAACTATGATAAACATCGTTGAATAAAATTAAAAGACTTAACTACTATTTAATAAAAGATAATAAAAAACAGACTAAACAAAATTTTCGTATAGTTTAAGGGTCTCTTCGTGTTCCTAAAAGTCTAGTACAGTAGAACTTTTAATTTTTTACGAAAAAAAAAATTAAACTAAATTTTAAAACTGTTAAACGAGAATCACCCCTTAATAAAAACACAGTTACTCAATATAAACAAAAAGAAACTTGTTTCTTATGAATTCGTACCATTTATCTTTACCAAATGTTGTTTATTACACTGCACTATTACTATTTACAGAGCAGTTGTTTCTCATCTATTGGAAAGAACAGAAAATATTGCACAAGTTTTCGTCGACAGTCATCGATCCATCGATATAACGAGAGAAATGAAATATGATTACGAATGAAATTTTACGTAAATACAGACAAATGTACATAATTTTTGCCAATGTTTGGCAAATTCACAAATTGTCCTCGCGGTGTTTACTTGACATTGGCTCATTCCCTTTCCCCGCGTACCGTACCGAGAGTGATTAGGCGTGCGACACATAGCTCGTCAATTTCAAGATATTCGCCTAACGGTTCGTGCGCGTGTTCCATATTTTGTGACCAGTAAATATAAATCATCTGACGATAAAATGATTCCACTCATCGGGCTGGTAGCGGCGATTTGTATGGCAGCAGTTTGCGTTGGGCAGATGTATTGCTACAATAGAATGAGGAAAAATCATAGTGAGTCGAAAATAAAACCATTATTTATCAATTTCAGCGAGCATTTTATGATTTGTTTAAATACACAAATCAATACAATAGAATATATTTAACTCTTTGTACTCGAAAGGCGACCCCCAGTTACTATTTTATTCGATGCAGCAACTCGAATTGTATTTTATATATTGTTTAATATTTGTAACTTCCGAAAATTGACACTTTAAATCTTAAAAAAACATTCTTTTAAATTTTATGTAGCCGTTGGTGAATCATTCCTTTTTTCTCTACATTATGTACCGATGTATTGAAAAGCATTTCCAGCCGCTACAGCTTACTTGGATGACCGCATTATTTTATTTTGACTTTTTGTGAACAATCGGTTTAGTCACCTTCTTTTAAATTCCGTGCGTGAAAGTGCTGTTATAGCTGTCTAGAAACACTCCATTATATTATGTATAATATAATTTATTAATTACGATCGAACAAGGAACTGACAGTAAAAGTAGCGGAAAGGAAAGAATCACCACGTATCGGATTTATATTATTTTAGCGAAATAAATAATGGACACTCGATGAGAGAAACTAATCCTGGAACTTAATATTTAACTGAAAGTGCTATTATAATCGTTGGTCAGTGTCAATTACTAGATTGTGAATCTTTATTCAAATTCATATATGTATTAACACATAGAATTAATGAATTCCTATCTTACTTTTAGTATTTTTTATATTTTTGCATATTAAGTACATTCTGTAATTTAAAAAAAATGTAAATTTCCTATAAATGCATAAATATCCGCAATCTATCAGTTACTGATACATTTACCCTGGTTACTAAAATATTGGTAAAATAAGTTTTCTATTAAGCAATATTCGCGGAGCTACTAAGTAATTGTAACATTTTTGTATAATAACTTCTTAAATTTTAGAACTGCGTCTGCATTTTGTATCTCTTTATCGTTCCGTCATAGAATTAGTCACCGTATGGTTATAAACCATAAATTAAATATAATAACGATTTATTCGAGAATAATATTAATTGATATAAGTTATATAATACTCCTTTTCATTATATATTCTATAATTAATAAATTTTACGTAAATAGTGGCGTTTTGTCCACAGACGTTGAACTTTTATTGAATTAAGTAAAATAAAATACATACTTTATTACATAATAAACTACTTGTTTGACACACCGTTGTTCTTTGTTTATTAAAATAATAAGTATCAAGAATATAGGAATGTTGTCGTACAATTAGGTGAATGGAGTGGGAGCAAAGTTTTAGACGAAAACGAACAAATGGAGAACGATTTACCAATTGTGCGCATTAAGATATTACAAGCCAGTCCAAATCAGTTCGCGAACGACACCTGCAATTCCGATGACAAACGACCCGACTTTCGACACAGGTACTAATTTTTTAATTTACAACACGATTGTATTTGTGTTTCGTTCAGTCGGAGTTCGGCATTAATCGATTAAAACGTTCGAAATATAATATTAATTTAAATTGTTCATATACAGTGAGTGTAAAAAGTATTCGTACACTAGTCAATTTGAACAAAAACTTTGCAGAACTTTGTTTATTACAAAAGTATGTTAACAAAAACATGCATACATATTCTTAGAAATCTCTGGAACAAATGCCATTAACAACAAATTATTTATTTATATTTATTATGAAAATATTAACAAATTTCTAGAAATTGGCGTGAAATATACGTGTAATAAGTATTCGTACACTTCTAATTTTACAACAAAAACTATAAATTTTAGTACATAAACGTAACAAAAATTAGTCTATTTGCTATTTTAGTATCTAGTGGGATTTCCTTTAGATTGTATAATCGCTTTAAGCCTTTGCGGCATTGAATTTATTAAATTTTTGGTTATAGTACTAGAAATTTTGTTCCATTCCTCTAAAAGTACATTTTTTAAATCTTGTTTCGAAGAAATGTGATGGTCTCGAATTTTTTCTTCAAGATGACTCCATAAGTGCTCTATCACATTTACGTCTGGAGACTGTGGAGGGATTTTTAATTGCTGCGGCACATTATATAGGATCCACTGACGTGTGTTATAAGCATTATGCTTTGGATCATTATCTTGCAAAAATATATAATTGCCCTGTAACTGCATTTTATTTGCACTAACCTGAAGATGCTCTTTTAGAATATCGATGTACATTTTGTGATCCATGATACCATCGATAAAATGGAGGGATCCAACCCCGCTCGCACGCATAGAGCCCCAAACTGTGACTGATCCTCCTCCATGCTTTACGGTCGGCTTCAAATTTCTTTTTTCGTACTCGGTATTTTTCCCCCGCCATACTGTACATCGTCCATCTGACCCAAATATGTTAAATTTACTCTCATCGGTAAATATAATACGGTTCCAGTGCTCCATAGGAACATTAACGTACTCTTTCGCGAATTGCAATCGTTTCTTTCTATTAATTTCATTTACGAAATATTTCTTACGAGCTACCCTGCCGTGATATCCTCTATCCCGTAAAAAATTACGCACTGTGCTACTGCATACATTAATGTCCAGTTCATTTTTAAGTTCAGCTGTGATTTTCACCGCACTTATCTTTGGATTTTGCTTTATTTTTCGAATTATCCATCGGCCCGTATACTCATTTATTATTCGTTTACGTCCGTTTCTTGGATTATTTTTTACAGTTTTTCGATCGCCATATCTGTCAATGATTCCTTGAATCGTGGACCTCGGTCTATTTAAAACTTTAGAAATTTCACTCAGTGTTTTACACTTATTATGTAAATTTATAACAATTTTCCTTTCTTCTTCAGAGGTTTCCTTGCGTTTTCGTCCCATTTTACTGATAATTTCGTTGATAATGTTTGAATTCAGGATACTACCTATACCGACAGCGTCTCCAGACATACTGATGCTAAGTATGTTTACATATCATGGATTATCTTGTAATCGTTCTATGTGGAATGTTACGAATCGAAGACTGTACGAATACTTATTACGCGTATATTTTAGGTCAATTTCTGGAAATTTGTTAATATTTTCATAATAAATATAAATAAATAATTTGTTGTTAATGACATTTGTTCCAGAGATTTCTAAGAATATGTATCCATGTTTTTGTTAACATACTTTTGTAATAAACAAAGTTCTGCAAAATTTTTGTTCAAATTGACTAGTGTACGAATACTTTTTACACTCACTGTACTTATTCCTCTCCGTCTAAATGTGTTCGTTTCTTTCGATGTGTCGTTAACGCGACAAATTGTTTCAGAACATCGACAAAGATTTGGTCATCGCCGTTGAGAAAGCAGTTAGAAAGGAGCAGGAATTTATCCGGTGGTACGTGTCACAGTACTAACAGAGTGGTGCAAGCTCAAATCGAAACCAATCCTATAGCCTGTGTGTCAAATAACAATCAGGTTTCTGAATTACTGCGGCGTAGATCATTCCGACTCGATCACGTTGATTCGCCCAGGCAGGATACAAACCTGAGGAATGCGAACGATAAACCGCCAAGGAAACTGTCGTCTGTTGTCTATAAGAAATGGAAGAAGCTGAAGAAGATGATAATTCCATCGAGGTTTGCATAGCTTCAGAAGTCGTTGCATCAGTGTCCTTAGAAACTCACTATATTGTAAAACCTAGAATTCCACGCAAATTCAATAATCGATAAATTTCGACTGTTTCATTCAGAGTGTTCATTTGCAAACATTAAATTTAAATATCTCGAAAACAACACATTTTCGGGGGAAAATGTTAAATGCAAAAGTTACTCGGTTTTAAGGGTGAAACGCAACTATTTTATTTGATTTTCATTTGTTGAACGCTTTCAAAATTATTTTTTAAATGAAATCCTGTATTTTTATTTAGAGATTCTTATTCTACGTAAAAAAAATTGTTGTATGAAACGTTTTTTTATCGAATTTTATCTTACAAAGATATTTTATTTTTTACTTTTATTTTATTTTACTCAACCATCGTTAATATTTAGTTGAACCTCGTTTCTAACTCGCGAAGAAACATTAAACAAATAATTTTATTTCCTAAGAGAGATTTGTTAAAATATCCACCTTAGAAAAAGGAAGAGAAAGAAAAATGATGAATTTCTAAAATTTCGAATTCGAGTTTCGTAATGAAAAATCAGATTTGGTTCCATTTCCAGCGATAATGAAAGAATCTGTTCACAGATCTAGAAACTCAGTGCCATTCGACGACGTCGTGATCGATGATACCCAAAGATTAAATCTTCCAGGCACCGCTTCTGATCAACCATCTAGTCCGGCGAAGCAGTCGACGATGCTCCAGACAAATCAATCTGTAGACGTATCGACTTCGACTAGAATGAGCGTGAACGCTTTACCAATGAGAAATCAGACCGACGAAATTGTTACGAATCAGTGTAATGTGGATGAGAATATCGAAACTCTATCGAAACAAGGGACGAACGATCGCCAGTGTTCGAACGCAGAAGCGATGCAGGAAGCAGTATCGCTGATAAAGCGTCAAACCTTCGATGGAAAGTCGGTTTGCGACGTCAGGATCACTGGTCTTAGCATGAATCAATCCCAACTGTTGGACCTGTTGGAATCGACGGGGAGTCAAACGCGATCGGCGTCCATCGTCACAACCGAAGAGGCCTCGATTATTTCCATCAAGTTTTATCATCGAAGAGACAGTGGTGAGACGATACAGACAAAAGACAATTCCTCTTTCGAAGGTCCGTTCTGGAAATTCTACAAAAATTTGCCAGAGAGACTCGAGGATATGTCATTTTCCAGTTTTTTTCGATCGCAAGAACAACCGAGAAAACTGAATCCTCCGTCGATTTACGTCTCTGATCATTCGAGGACACCGAATGGCTCGAGAAACAATACCTCGTACATAAGATTCCCAGAAGCGAGACACGAAATCGCTTTCGAGAAGTGTTAGATTTTTCGAAGACCCTTCGAACAACGCCGAATTCAAGACCCGTATTAAATAAAAAATAAAAAAGTAAATTTCCTTCCAAATCTGGGAATCGTAATAAGAATCGTTACCAGGATTCTTAATTCCGATCGCAGAACTAGAAATTATTGTTACTGATATAACGTAGAAATTTTTGCAACAATTTCTGCGACGCGTTACGTAAATATTCAGTAACTAATAAAGAAACGGAAATTTACGAACAATTTGCATTTCAAAATTCGAATTTTACCGATCATATCGATAAAAAAATCGTGAAATACAAATAAAATGGAAAATTGATAATTTAAGTTTCTGTAAATATAGGTTATAGTTATTACAATGTTGATGTATACTTTTAAATACAAAGATCAGATCGATAAAAAATTGATGATTTCATTTAAGTTTCTGTAAATATAAAATATAGTTATTACAATGCTAATGTATACTTTTAAATACAGAGAATTAAAATTATTAATAATCGTACGCTTGAAACTGGTCACCTGAATAACTCGTTTACTTTTAACAATACATAACAAGTTTCAGACAAGACTAGCTTTTAGTTTCGAGATACGAAGGTCAAATCTGTTTTTATATTTTTTATTTTAGAATCTTATTCTACGTAATAAAATAAATATCTTTTTAAGATATCGAGAGAACTACAAAAATTAAAAATTCCTAAAACATTATGAGATGTGTATGTATCAAATAGGCCACATGATATGTTTGATTGTTATTCCGATCTACGTACCTGCCTGGTTTCGTTGCAACTATGTAATTAAAACTGAAATCTTGTTCTCTGCCACGATCGCAAAACAAAGTCTCGACAAATTGTTATGTAAATCGACTCGTAAGATCCGACATAGCATACGCGGCTGAATGAAGTTTAATTATAAAACTTTTCTAAGAAAAATTGTCAAGAAGAATCGTTAGTGTCGCAATATGCGAAATACGAATCTTCTCGATCTTTTTCACGCAAAGTCATCCCGAAGTGGACAGCTAATTCAGTGAAAAGTATCCTCCATGTGCTGGCATTGTTTGTAAATTTGAAACACACATTCCTGCGGTAATAGATTCCCGATTATGCTCGTTATTACTACACAAATCCGTGTACTATCTTGATCGGTGAAGATCCAAAGGTTCTCGCGCGGTGCACATTGACACGATCAGATAATGTGCCGGCAACGAGAAAGAACAAATTCCTGACACAATACCGTAAACACGGTTGCTTAACTTAATCGACGTCTATTAATCAACGCGCATAAAGCTGTCCCTTTATTACGCAATTAATAATTGTTCCGTAATGAGACTTTTAGTGTTCTTTGCACGAAAACACCTTATCGACGCGTATAATTAAGTTGCTCACTGTTTATTTATTGCAATCACGCGGGAGCGAGTGAACGTATCCATGACTTTATGCACGTAGCCTCTTAAGCCGCGTCCCCACTGCGTCAGCTTTTTTTTTTCACGAGTTTAGACACGCATCAACAACAGGGGTTATTAGCGACTATTATTGGCCCGATTTATCTGTGTGTGGTAGTTATTTGGTTGGAAATTTGTGGAGGAAAATTTATAGCATTAGCGAGGGTGGTGATCTTCATAGATTGTCTAGAATTTCGTTTTGCAGAATAATAGTAGTCTGTTCTGGAACAAGGGTGAAGTGGCCGCTTCGGTGATGTTGTCCATGATTTTCAGGCCTCTTCTAACTTGATCGAACTTCCTACAATCGAGGATGATGTGGTTAACAGTTAAGGGTGTGCTGCATGTTTCACAAAACCTGGGTTGACTATTATTTAAGAGGTGCGAGTGAGTTAATTTGGTGTGTCCAGTTCTGATTCGGGTTATCGCCACTTGCTGTTTCCTATTGAATTTTGTACTTGTTGTCAGATCGTAGAAATTGTCGATTTCTCCAGTCCTGTTTCCACAATGATTTAATGGGAGATTCTAGAGGCCCAAATAAAACGATAATCAAGAATATTAATTTTTTAACTGAGGCTTCGTTAAAAAGTTATTAAAAAATTTCAAATCATTCTGAAAAAATTGTTTTTGGTTGTGGAGATCAATTTCTGGTGAAATCATTTTTGGCGAATACACATACTCCCGAAATTTCACCCACTTTCGAGAAAAAAATTCGGGTAGGTGCTGAAATTTTTCGGTGAAAAAAAATTTTTAAAATCGTTCTAAAAAAATTATTTTCATTATTTATTGGAATTGAAACGATTACAATCATTTATGGTCATAACATATACCCCCAAAATCCTACGCATTTTCAAAAAAAAAATTCCTTACCGAAAATCTAGTGTGACGCCAGAAATGCTTTCCTGTAATTTCATGCGTATCTTTAAAATGTCATAACTTTTGAACGGATTGGATGACTTTAATTTTTCAAAATGCAAACTACGCGTATATTAGTGAAGGATATGTGAAAATGCCAAAAATATTCGAAAAGTTATTCCTTGACTCCGCAAAATGACAAAAACCCCATAAAGATGGTCCAATTTTTAAATGTTTCTAACTCCTACAATAGTGAATATATTTCATTGAAAGTTTTTTCTGAAATAGAGACTATGGGCACCTACAAAAAAGTATTAGACATCTTTTCTGTAGGGGGTCAAACTAAATTATTAAAAATCAAAAACGAATTTTTAAGACAAATCGACAAAGAGGTAAGGGGGAAGGTGTCTAAATTTTTCAAATCGTTCTGGAAAAATTATTTTCGGTTCTGGGGGTCAATTACTATCATTTTTGGTCATTAGACATACCCTTGAAATCCTGCGCATTTTCGAAAGAAAAATTCAGTACAGGCGAAACTTTAAACGTTAATAACTTTTTAACGAAGCCTCCATCAACAAATTGGTATTCTTAATTTTCGTCTTATTTTCGCCTCTAGAATCTCCCATTAAAATTTTTCCCAGGGGTGGCCGAACACCCTGTATATGTGAGTTCGGGACAAAACTAATAATTCCTAAACTATTTAATTTTTGACCTAAGGCCTCTAATACTTGTTTAAAGAGGATACAAAGATGCATCGATTTATGAAAAAAAATATACAATTTTACTAACAAAATTAAGGCGATCTTAATTTTTTATCGAATAAAAAGATTTTTATAATGAGAAAAATCAACACCGTTTACGAAACAGATTTTGCGTTTCACTATTGATGGAATGAAACGCAATTCTTATCTTTACAAGCGCATGACTGCAGCTGATTTACTGTCGCGAACAAAAGAAAGTTTAAAATTGGCTTTTGTCGTTTTATAATAAAAAAAAAAAGGAAACATGAGCCGTTTATTTTGAAAGTGGCCTAAGTCCATTTATCTTCAAATCGAGATATTTATGGGTTTGCGTTTCAATGAATTTAAAAATATACGTATAGGATACTAATGAGTCATACTGCTTAAGTGTATCTAAGGGTGTTAAATTTATAGTTCCTATTAAAATACTGGCAATTATTAAGTGAATAATATGCGTTTTCTTATCAAGAATGGAGTTAGGCCACTTTCAAAATTAACAACCAGATTCATTATAAAATTTGAAGGTGCCCAAGTCCATTCAACATAATTTAAGATGCTTCAAATTGAAAAAAACAATACTGAATTTATTTTACATATCTTTAAAACTCCAATTTCTTGGCGAACCTTTTCCGTTTGTTGGACGTCTTCGTTCCACAATTTTGCGCTCGACAGCTTCGTAAAGCAATACATTTTGTTTGTTAAAATCTCCCAAACCCCAAAACTTCTCAAAAATATTCTTTCTTTCTTCTTCGTCGTAATTTTTTGTGCAAGCATTCCGACAACGGCAATCTTTGTTTTCGAAAATCTTTTCAAGTACAATATTTCCGGTTTGAGTACAATATCTTTTTCCTGAATTCCGTTTAATCTATCGCACTTTTTGGATGTATGATTCATCAATCTTTTCTCCATTGTTATACCTATCTTCATCCCCTGAAGACGAATATTGTTCTATAATTCTGTTTCTTTTTCGATTTTTTTTTAAATCATTAGTTACTATTTCTTCTTCACTATCTGAACTAAATAGTCTTATTCTGTTCTTCTCCATGGGTGAAATAATTTCTAAAATTTAATATTAAATTTTAAGTTTTATATTAATTAAACGTACTGGTTATTCAACTAACGCAATTGTCCAAAAACTGAGGTTAACTTGTAAATACTAATTAATTAAAATTACCTTCATCACTGCTTTCCGACATTATCAATAGTAAATATCTTGATTTAAGTATAAATGGAGTTAGGCCACTTTCAAACTACACGGTTCAATTATTGAACTAACTCTGAAAACTTATGTGTCAAGAATTATCGTATTTGCTCGGAATATAAGCAACCTGAAATGCTTTACTGATAAATAACATGAAGTTGTACATGTAACCATGGCAACCGGAAAAAATTGAAAAATGGAGTTAGGCCACTTTCAAAATAATCGGCTCACATATTTGATTTGTGCATGGACTATGCGTTTGAATTATAAACTAATTTCAAGCAGTGAAAAGGAAGGTTATATTGTATCTTGTAATCCCTTCAACTCTTAGCGAGGCTGTTGGATTTTTCCCTGTTTTCGATCATAAAGATATCGAGAACACCTAAACAACCCTTTGTCGCACGATTGCCCATAGTAAATCTTCTTTACGCTCGCTGTTTGTTGCATCCTTCGATAATCGACACCCTTGACATGCCATGAAACGCTGGACGTTCGAACGTTCCACGTCCGCTCGCGATTACGATAAGTACGCACCGATCGTTATGACCTCAGATTGACGAACGTTTCCGGAATGATCGCGAGTTACGGTGGTAATTTTTCTTAGATAATGATCTCTATCTGCAACCGCGTCTGTCTATAGCCACGGGCTTCAGGCGATCGGTTGCTTTATATACATACACGCTTCGTGACTAACCAGCGTTCCTTTATTTCTAAGAAGAGAACATTGAATACCAGAAGTTCGATGTTAAAGAGTTTGTATTTAATTGGATCGCGATCTGTTCTAGAATAATGGCCAGCCTGTTACAAGAACAAATTTTTATTTTAAATGCGCCTTGATAGATTTATCGAGTGATTTATACTCGACGTCGACGGAAGTACATACAAAGTCTATGCGTTTGCGAACGAGCTGGTGCTGTGAAAAATTAAACGATCA